CAGACAGGAAGCACGTCGACGTGGATTCTCTCTTACTCCTTACTCCAGTAATACTGCTCATCCTAACACATCTCCTAAACCCACCCCTCCTACATCTAACCCCCCCACTAACCCCACCTACCTTCCCCAGTCAAACTCTTTTGCCATCCTAAATCCAGAAACTCCAATCTCTACTACAGATACTCCAATCACCACTACAACCCCAACACCTTCCCCTCTCCCTCCTCGCACTCCCCGTAACAGACAGAACAAACGTTCCACCCCCTCTTCCCCTACCACACAATCACCCCCAACATCCTTTGCCCGTACTCTTGAAACACCAGTCCTCTCTTCCCCCCCTCACAAGAAATCCTTTATCCCCCAAAACTCCCCAACCAACTCCACAGAAGAAACTATTGAAAATATTCAAGATTACTTAATGAAAACCGACACTCAACCTACAACTCCTGCTCCTTCCACACTCCAAGTAATTGCTGATATCCATCCTCCTCCTAACGATATCCCCCCTACACCCTACCCTCCTACCCCCTCCCAACACAGCCCATCCCCCCTGACCCTGCCCACATTAACTCTCCCACCATCCCCTCTATCCCTTCCACTCCCTCCTGGATACACACGTGAATCCCTTATGTCACAAGTATCCCCTTCCTCAGACCCTCCATCTCCTACTATCCCTCCTGATAGAACACCAACTCCCACACCTCTCCCATCTCAAACCTCTCAGTCCTTATCCCACCCTCTAGCTGCTTCCCCTTCAAATTCTCCAACACGTACTACAATCTATATCACTAAATCAACGAAAGTATAACTATCCTTCATTGGAATATTCGCGGTTTCCGCTCCCACAGACCTGACCATCATATCCTTTCCTCTTATAACCCATCTATTGTATGCCTTCAAGAAACCTTTCTTATGCATACCCTTTATCTAATATAACACCCGACCTTAACCCTTTCACTCACTAATTCCTTTGCCCAGCTTAGACAACTAATCACTAACTCAACCACCCTTCACTAACATTAACTATAGTGCTACATGACCTTAGATGTCTAGCACATTTATCTTGCTTTTAACCATTAACCATTAACCAATCTCTGTGATGAAACACAATTTTAACAGTTACTTTGTTTCTCATTCTTCAAGTAAAGAGAGAGAGAGAGAGTGAGAGAGAGAGAGAGAGAGAGAGAGAGACAGAGGAGAGAGAGAGAGAGGAGAGAGAGAGAGAGAGGAGAGAGAGAGAGAGAGGAGAGAGAGAGAGGAGAGAGAGAGAGGAGAGAGAGAGAGGAGAGAGAGAGAGGAGAGAGAGAGAGAGGAGAGAGAGAGAGGAGAGAGAGAGAGGAGAGAGAGAGAGAGAGAGAGAGAGAGAGAGAGAGAGAGAGAGAGAGAGAGAGAGAGAGAGAGAGAGAGAGAGAGAAAATTAAAATTTCCTTTTGGAGTTGCTAAAAAGACAAGCAACATAAGAAATTTAATATTTGGTTAATGTTAAGGTCAATTTTCACACAAAATTATCTAGTGTGAGGGTTGGTCAAACACATGATGATAGGACATTATCCCAGACTGAAGTGGTTAGGGAAGGCAAATGGGGAAAAAAAAATTATGAGACCCAAACCAATCTCTGTGATGAAACACAATTTTAACAGTTACTTTGTTTCTCATTCTTCAAGTAAAGAGAGAGAGAGAGAGTGAGAGAGAGAGAGAGAGAGAGAGAGAGAGAGAGAGAGAGAGAGAGAGAGAGAGAGAGAGAGAGAGAGAGAGAGAGAGAGATCACTAGAGAGAGACAGAGGAGAGAGACAGAGGGGAGAGAGAGGAGAGAGAGAGGAGAGAGAGAGAGGAGAGAGAGAGAGGAGAGAGAGAGAGAGAGAGAGAGAGAGAGAGAGAGTGAGAGTGAGAGTGAGAGTGAGAGTGAGAGAGAGAGAGAGAGAGAGAGAGAGAGAGAGAGAGAGAGAGAGAGAGAGAGAGAGAGAGTGAGAGAGAGAGAGAGAGAGAGAGTGAGAGAGTGAGAGAGAGAGAGAGAGAGAGAGAGAGAGAGAGAGAGAGAGAGAGAGAGAGAGAGAGAGAGAGAGAGAGAGAGAGTGAGTGAGTGAGTGAGAGAGAGGAGAGAGAGAGTGAGAGAGTGAGAGAGAGAGAGAGAGAGAGAGAGAGAGAGAGAGAGAGAGAGAGAGAGAGAGAGAGAGAGAGAGAGTGAGAGAGAGAGAGAGAGAGAGGGAGAGAGAGAGAGAGAGAGAGAGAGAGAGAGAGAGAGAGAGAGAGAGAGAGAGAGAGAGAGAGAGAGAGTGAGTGAGTGAGTGAGTGAGTGAGTGACCCAAACAGATATATCTTTTTTACATCATTGAACAAATAAAAAAAAAAATTAAACTTTCCTTTTAGAGTTGCTAAAAAGACAAGCAACATAAGAAATTTAATATTTGGTTATTGTTAAGGTCAATTTTCACACAAAATTATCTAATATCCTTTACCTGCTACTCCCCCCCTCCCCGGCCCTTGCTCATTGTTGTCGTGGGGGACTTGGTCATTGGTCCTCAGCCCTCACCCCAACTAACATTGCATGATCTTTTCTTCTCCTTTCCTTTTCCTTTTCTTTATTCACTTGTTCTGTCCACTTATCCTAATCGTTAAACTCATTTTTGCTGTTTTCGCCACAGTAGTTTATCATAATGATCCTTACTCCCTTAACTCTTTACCCTTCTAACAACCTTTACTGTACCCCATCAGCTCCCCCTCTCTACCATACTATCCTCTAGTATTGTTCAACCTATCACTTTCCCTAATTATTAACTCATTCCTAACCCTTTTCGCTACTCTAATTTACCATAGTGCCATATGACCTTTGATGTCATATAGCACTTCCTTACCTTAGGCTTTGCCCCCAAGCCTCACGCCATCATTATATTTTGAATACACCATTAATGACCCTAGTTGTTGATGCGGCAGAAAAGTTTCAATAAACAATTAAATTTATTTGCTGAAAATGAAGTAAGATACTTTAGAAGAAAAAAAATCCAGTCAAAATAATCTACACATGTTGTTACTCACATGTTCAGTATCCATCTTGCTGGTCATGAATCTGAGGTGAACTGCAGAATATAAGTGAAATTGACCAAGGCAAAGCTTAATTTCAAATACCAGAACCTGAAAGATAAGCTTAAACTCAAAAAAAAAAAAAAAAAAAACATGGCAATAATCACACAAAAAACTGTAAAATAATTTTTTAACTGTAAAAATTATAATAATTAAAACCAACTTGTTAGATGTAAGAGGTCATAATGCAGCATTGGATAGTATGGTAGTGAAAAGGGTAAAGAGGGCAGAAAACGGGGTAAAGGGTTAAGGTCAGAGGGCAATTAGGTCAAGTGGAGGTTACTTATACATCTGAGGAAGGAGAACAAGCTGTCAAAGGAAAAAGAGTGAGGGAAAGCAGAGGCACGGGCCGCAGTACAGCTAGGATAGGACAATAGAATGTGTGGGACTGAAAGAGGAACCATTATGAAGCAATTCATGGGTAATAAGGATAAAAATGGGTACTGGAGAAGAACCTGAGGAATTAGACAGGAACCAAGGGAGGAAGGTGAAGTATCAGGAAGGTCAGAGTGGGAAAAATCTGGAGAAGAGTGTTCTCATGGGCCATGTTTAAGAAATTTTGGATGTGATCACAAGTTTCTGGAAGGGTTGGGTGGGGAGATCTGAAAAACAAAGGTTTTCTTTTGAGGAGGATAATAGGAGATAAAGGGGCAGGCAACAGGGAAGTGTAGAGATTGTAGTATCTGGATTTAGAATGGCAAATTAATTTGACTGGGAGAGAGGGGTTTAAAGCATACTTCCTATTTAGCCTAGCACAGAGTGAGGCCAGGGTAAATAATGCATGAGCTTAGGACTGTAACCGTGACATGTGAACAATTGGAACAGCTGTCAAAAGGAAACTTTGTCTACTCGTTTTTGAAGATATTTGTGGAAGAGAAGGGTATTGGCATAGTAAGGGACTGAAGGGGGAATCACAATAAAATCACTGCCATTCAGCTAGGCTAAAAAGAGTATTCAAAACATCTGTAGCAGTGTAAGTAGTAGAGGGACGATGATGGAAGGAAGAGGGAGTGGTAGGGAATGAAGTAGTACTGGGGGGAGGAAGACAATGAGGTTGATGAGTAGTAATAAGGGAGGAGGGGGCAGAAAATGAAAACTTTGCAGGAAATGGAGTAGGGAGGGAGGGAGAGATGTATTCTGAAGGTTGAGTAATAACCATTGGTCGAGGCCATAATCAAAGGAGAGTCAAGGGCCATGAAACCAGAGAAGTTATTTCAGATAGGTTACCTGTTAAGGGGGTAAGCCTCAGTGCCCCTAATGAGGGTACAAAATATTCATTATTGGCCATGGTGAGTCTGAAATAGGATAATTCTAAAGGCACAAACTTTCTAATTTTCGAAAATATGCATACAAGAACTCACTTGCTCTATTGAAAACATATGAGCTGATTTGACCAGTTGACACCAGGTGTGAATTGGTCAGGTGGCATCTATCTTTTCCCTAATGCATCAATTCCATGGCACATGTGGTTGAACCTGTTCTATGTTCTATGTACTAAACTTAATGTAAATCTAAATTTGAAGTCAGCCTGTTTCCACTGGAAGGTTTCTATTGTTGCTGTGAAGCACTGAGTTCATTTGCTACATGATGCCCTGTGGCTGAGTCTGCTGTGCATGCTAAGCAGTTATTTGTTTGTTTGGCCCTGTCTGTGATCACCTTTCAAAATGGAACTGAAATCTTTCTGCAGTCTCTTCTATTGAAAAACCACAACTAAAATTATAGACCACAAGGAAAACCTACATATCCAGTACTTCTAATTTTTCCCTCAAACCAAGTATGCAGCACCCAGACCATGCCTTTGTTTGCTGTGCGTAAAAGCTGTCATCATGAACAATGGAATACCATTGAGTGGAGCTAAAGATACTACCAACGATGACTGATGAAAATCCATTTCTATTTCAAAGGTAAAAGAAAGACAAAAATATTCATGTAATTATTATTAAAAAAGAAATGCTTTCAATGCAGTGGTAAAGGTACATAATCACAAATGGTACAGAAAATGTGTGGTTAGTATCCCTGTGATATTTCTAGTATTTTACCTCAAAAAGTAAAGGTATGAATGTGCTTAATTTTACTATAAAAATTTACACATATAAAAACAACCTCTACATATACAGAGTTTACAAAAGCTATATAAAAAAAGAAAAAAAGTTATAAACATGTGATGATAGTGTCTTGTTATTTATTTTGTCTTGTTTTTGTTTAGAAAATATATTCTAAACTGAAAAAACAAAGAAAAGCAGCAAATAGAATAATAAACAAAAATTACAAAATAAATATATAGACAACTAAAAAAAAATTATCAATCCTAATTTCTTTCTGTAATTACTTGCACAACAATTTCCTCATGCAATGCACAAACACATTTTAACTTTTAAATCGTTTTGCATCCTTATGATGACCAATTCAATTACCATTTACCAAAACAAATAACTTAAATCAATCCTTTCCATGTGCTAAATCCATTTAACACCAAAATTACTTTCTTTTTGGGCAAACTGTATATGACAAGGATGAATCAGCATTACAAATAAATGTCTTCAAGAAACACAGACAGTTAGCATTATCAAAAAAAAAAATGGATGTGAAAGCAACCACACGTACAAATTGTCGTTACTTCGGCCACAAAAGCAACTTATTATGATTTCAGTTCTTAAAAATGAGATCATCAGGTACTATATTTGTATACAACAGCCCTACTGAGGCATATATTACTAAAATCTGATCAATCAATCATTGGTTATTGGGCTATAGTGACCTATGACAAGAAAATATACAGAAACCTAACAAAACAAAAATTGTAAGCAACAAAAATGAAATGAAAGTAATGACTACAATTATAAATAAAATTATGCAATAATGGGGAAAAAAATCAAAGAGAAATGCTACCCTGCACCCATTTCATCCTCTACTGCTAACAGACAGAAAATTATGCTTGTGATTCATGGCTATCCAAAGAGAGGAAAAAAGAAAAACTGGAAAAAAAATATATCTGATAAACTGCTATATAACAAAAGACAGAATTTACAGCATAAACCAAAAGTCACTGAAGATAAGCTAGTAAAACAGTACTGATAAATAAATGCTTTTAATAAAATAATACTCTTAAAATTACTACAAAACAAGATAATTACAAGAAAATGTCATTAGAGAAAATGGGAAAAAGCAGAATATCAAAAGACCAGAAAATGTTATAAAAGTTTATTACTTATGCAATTTACATTTAAATAATGCATCTCCATCATTCTATCTATCTGGATTTTTAATACCTGCAAGACAATAAAAATTGCATCTTCCTAAACATTAATGATATCTCCAAAGTGTGTCCTTACTACATTTAATATCTATAAAATTATAAAATACTCATAACAAAAGAAGTGTGCCGTACAGTTGGGGAAAAGAAAGAAAAAAAATTACACACGACTAATTTTGACCACCTACACTCCTTGCAAGCAAATCGTGCTAACAGTTAACATTAAAAATTTCTCTTTAGAAAGTACTTTTTTGTACTGAAGTTAAGCCAGTGGTACTCAAGATTACTGCAATGTTCTAGAAACATTCTAAACTATGTACTTGAGCATTCCAACTCATTGACAATCTTGCTCTTTAATGTGGACACAAAAGGCCTCTATCGAAGTGAACATCTTCCGTCCCACTAATTTACTTTATATGCTTTGTTTTCCCTTCAACTGGCATGGGGCTTTTCTTGTGATGTCTTATATTTTTCTTAAACAATTCACTAATGTTATCAGCTGCATTTTTTCCCATAATCTTCTTTCAATAAACATTTGCAGTAAGCTGTTCTGTGGCTTCACTGATGGCTACAACTTTTCAGAGACATATTTGATATCTGATCATGATCTATTATGCAACAGATATGAATCCCCTTCTTTGGCTTGATGCAATCAGAATGTTTTCATTTGTTGGTTTTGAGCCCAATATGTGAACAATGAAACTCATCTGAGTGGACCGTCACATGGGTGTCATCACTGTATGCCAAATCTCTCTGCGCGCTTCTTCTTCATTTCATCTTCTGAGGAAGTTGATGAGGAAAATCTTGCTGCTCTTGCAGCCTTAGCATCATCTGGGCTGGTTCTGCAAACAAAGCTAATCTCAGGAAACACAGATAAAGAAACACAGATGTTGGTAAAGTACTTATCAAACTGTGTATGTGAAAAGGGGCTTTGTTGCTAGCAATGGATTGGATACTTATACACACAAATGGAGAATGCAAACAGGCCAAAGTAAAGATAGTATATGGACATTAGGATATTTATATATGATATAGGGAAAATTTCAACTCTGTACTGTAAACTTAATGTTAGTAGCACCACATAAATATTGCAAATCATAAACACCATTTTCCACTCAATTCTGTTATCATAAATTAGAGGTTCATTCCTTTTAATCTGTAAGACTGAGAGACTTGGTGAACACAATGGAATCTGCACTTTTGAAAAAGATGTAAAGCTATCTAAAGTTTCAAACAGATGAACAGCTTATTTCCCAGTAAAAATGCTATCAGACATAAATTAGCAGCTTCTCTGACCTACTGAAGTGCTTTGATAATCATTATAATACATATTTTTATTACAATCTGTGCGGTATTTTCATTACAATTAGCAGTGTAGTTTTATTATCATTAGTACTGTTTTTCATACACTGTCTATCAAACTATCACACATTAACAGCAAGCATCAGTTAAGAGTTTACTATTTCTAAAGATATCACTGACATGCCAGACAAGTCTTGGAAGTTAGATCCCTTTATTTTCTTTTAGATACCCAGAAAAAATGTGTAAAAGTATATATACATTTCATACTCACATGGCTTTTTTTTCTGTCCCAGCTGTCTTTGTTTCAGTTCCTCCAGCACCAAATCTCTCTTGCCTTTGCTTCATTTTTTCCAATTCCGAAACCTGGATTATAATTATAAAAAAAAAGGGGGGTTGGAAAGGATGGAAAAAAAATCTAAATGCAAGAGTCTGTTCAACCTATCCAGTCACTGTGGGATGACAGACACTGGGGTATAGCAGTGGATGTGCCAATATTTCATGAGTATGGGTAAACAGTTCTTCAAAATAAACGCATGAAAGAAGTTCGCATTCCGTGGATAGCATGGAGAGGTTAGCCGAGTTGGGTTATGTGTACATGGAGAAGGTGTGGGGAGCTAGTGAAGCAGGCAGGTTTGTGGGAAGAGGTCAGGGTAAATCAAACCCAGTGTCTGCCAACCACATGTCTACCCATGAGGAGCTAAACACTAATATGGATGAATGATTCACTTATGGTAACTGCATAGAAAAGTATAACATACTTATACCAGATTTAACATACATTACAGGTTACCTTTGTGAGTGACTTGGAAGTGACTTCTCCAAATCGCTTGGCACGTGCTTTCAACTTCTCAATGTCTGTCCCCTGTAAGTAGTAATTAATAATATACTATTAACATCAAACAAATACTCATGAAAACCTGAAATAGTCAGCCAGAATTATAGGTGAAATGTTAAATCAGATACATATACTAATTTGCAATCAACATCTCTACTTTCTGCATAAATGCTTCTACCCTCAATTCATTCTAAAGGTCACTTGTGCAGAAAAGCCAAAAGCAGTTTCCTTTATTCTAACAATATAATTATACAACTATATTATTATCACATTCACTTATTTACCTCACCATATGGGAACTACCTTACCCCTGTTTCCATAGACAGCTTGGCAGGTTTCTTGTTGACAGCTGTTGTGGTACTGTTACCAGCAAAGCGTTCTGCCCGAGCCTGCTTTCTGGCTTCTTCGTTCAACGGAATGCCAAATCTTTCAGCTCTTGCCTCAATTTGCTGATGTAAAAGGAAGGAAAAACTATAAACCTTAAAGCTGAAGTTGTTGGAGCCCATCAGTTTGTAAACGCAGGATAAGAGAGATATGAGATCCTGACAACACAACCATATTCATAGAAGAAGCTGGATAGGAATCAATCAAAAAAAACAACACAAAAGCTGAAAAACACTCACAGTCTTGTTCTCAGTGGAGCTCAGTCTGATGAGCTTCTTGGAAGGCACGCCATCCTCTTGACCCTCACTCTGGCTTTCGGGCGAAGTATTTTCCTTGGAGGCCTCTGTGGGAGGGGGGGTGGTTGGGGCTGTGGGCACTGGAGGCTCAGATCTCTTCAGGCTGATTTTCTTCTTTTCTGGCTGTTCAAGCATTGTGGACACCTGGTTGAGATCAGTTGTATTCAGTTCCTAATGAGATAAAGGTGTAAGTACAAACAACTGTTTCAATATGATAAATTACACAACATGCTGAAGTAAAAATATAGGTATGTGAGATACCCATTCCATCTTAGAGAATTATTCCATCAACACTCAACCCTTAGATCCTAGCACTTCGCTGACCGCACATGGCCTAAAATCCGGGCATTAAACTTACTTGAGCAGCCATCCTAAAGGATGTGGCTTGTAAAACCAGCACACATGAACACTCATGTGCGGTGAGAAGACAATTTGTTATTTGTTTAATTCTTTTTATTTTTCGTAATATTCAATTTTCAATATTACGTGTGCTGCCACTCACACCAGGCAGGAACTCATTCATCATTGGAAATAATTACCACCGAGATCAATCACCCTCCAAGAGTTTTGTGCACTAGTGGAGTCATTTCCGTCACCCCACCTTTAAGCCAAAATTCTTTTGATGGCAAGTTCCCCTCGTCTCACCCTCAGCAAAATCTTTCCATGACGGCATGTTCCCGTCACCTGCCCCTCAAGCTAAACCTTTTCATGAGGTGATGGTTACATCATCTGGATCATAGGGGTTAAGAACTTACTTCAGTATTTCTATGCTCTCTTTTTAGCAACCACAATGCATTTGCAAATGCATTTTATTTTACTTTATGACTATTTTTTCCTCTTCTTTAAGATCTGGTAGTTAATTTTCATGATGTGATGATAATACTATGAAATACTTATACACGTATCAAATCAAATTTCAATTCAATCCGGTTGATGGGACCATCAAGTCATGAAAAAAATATGGTTGAGTGCCAGGTGAAGGGAATATGCCGCCATGAAAATATTTGGCTGAGGGCTGGGATGATGGGAACTTGTCATGATGAAAAATTTGGCTAAAGGCCAGAGTAAAGAGAATAAAAGGAATAGGTGCACAAAGTTCATGGCGGAAGATAAGACTCAGTAGGCACTTAGGAAGGAAAACTCGCAATATTTCCACCTGTAAATGAGGGTAAATGTATCACCCATGATCCATGGCTGAAAGAGCTCTGGCATAAGAAAAGACACCATTTTCATGCTCAGGATCCAATTCCTACTTACCATGACTGGCACCAGGTGTGTTACAGAAAATTCACTATCACGAAAATATTTTTTAAATGTTACTTATTGTTAGTATCACTGCAGTTATAGACTATCGAGAGAGATGATATGAACTCTGCAGAAGTCTGTAAAATGAGAACTATTTATTGCATTCTTGACATAGCATATAAAATGACAAATATACACTTTGTAAAATCTCAAAAATGCAAAAAACTCTCATGCTGGAGATAAACACAATGCAAAGAGGAGGCAAGGATTCTTCATGTGGGCTGGAACTAAAGCCACACACCAGGGAGAGTCAGCACTCAAGTAAGCCTAATGCTCAGATTTCAGGACACGTGTGGGAACGGAGGCACCTGCATCCAACAGGCAAAAATAATATTTATAGATATGACAGGCAAGTGAGCTCTTGATTCCAAAGCCATATGCCTACAAACCTGAGGGAGTGAGACACTCTGAATCTAGAATCTTGTGCAGAGATAAGAATATCTTATCAAAAGCTACATATGGCACTAATATTTGATAACACAGTTGGACAGATACAAGTATTAAGAATTAACAAAGAACAACAATCCATACTGACACTTTAACGAAGACCAATGCAGTCTACTTACATCTCGGACACTGATGTTGACCCCCAAAGCTGCTGCTTCCTCCTGGGGGGTCAGCTTCCCTATGTCTACAGCATCCATATCATCACCTCCGAGGATCTCCTCTTCATCAAACTCTTCGTCCTCGCCATCTACTGTGCCCAGAGGAACATTTCCATCTGTGAAGCAAGTGCAAGTGTAAAGTAGGAGTGTTTGATCACAAAAACTTTACCTATAATTTTATGAATCTACTCTTACCACACATAAAACAACAGACAAATATTAATTTCATTAAAATACAGTATAACAAAATAAACAAACAGTTAACCCATTTCCCAATACGCAAGCCCTCTCTTCTGGGCTGTATTCATAGTGGCCCGGGCCATGCTGCCGGGGGCTCATATCGTCACCCCAGCGTGCACAGCATGACTGTATATGCCACCGGAAAACAGGACCGACGCACCATGGCACGTATGTGCCACCTGGAATATAGTCCAGGCATGCCATGGCATGTACATACATGCCATGCAGCAGGAAAGGGTTAAATATGAATAAATCTCTTTCTCACTCTCTCTCTCTCTCTCTCACTCTCTCACTCTCTCACTCACTCGCTCGCTCTCTCACACGCTCGCTCTCTCACTCACTCGCTCACTCACTCAATTACGTAGGATCCCATATAGCAAAGCCTAGATCAGTCCATACATAAACTCCACAACTTACCAGCTTCTAGAGCTTCTTGTAGCCTCTCCACCAGCTCATTTTTGTTGCCTGTCACAGGTAAACCTCTCGCCTTCAACTCCTTCTTCAGGTCAGCGACCTAGAGAAAAACAAGATAGATAATGTTTCTCACACTCCAACCAGAAAATGATTCTTGACAGTTCTTGGGAGGCATTTATCTCTGATATATGAGGTCATTCAACTTTCTAATGCAGAGAAGCCTGGCAATGTAGAAGTAGAAAAAGAAAAGAACAAAGTGTGATTAGTCGGCACCGATGGTTTAAGGAAAGAAAAGAGAAGAAATGAGCACTAAACCATGATTTATAAAATAAAAGCAAAGGAATGTTGTTCCTTGAACAAAGGTAAATTTAATGCTGGCTATGCTACATTTGATGAGTCAGATCACACATAAATATTAATTTCTATTGGTGTACATCTTTTGGGAAGAGGATGTATATAAAGAAATCCAGATAACTTCATGTTTACAGAAAAATAAAAATAATTTAGTTGTCCAAATGCTTGAGAATACACTGATGCATGGTTTTTAGTAGACCATCCAAATTGTAGCTTTGAGAGAGAATGTTTGGAATTATTTTCTTATTACAATGGCTACAGCTTACCTATTCAATTGCACTGATTAATTTATCACAGACATGGTATGACAAATTATTTGAACATTCTTTTCAGAAGTATAATATCAAGTAGGGGTGTTATGTGATCAGTACTATGAATACAAATCACATAAAGTGAACAGTTTGGATGAGATGAGAAAATCTTTTTATAGCTTACTTTTATCTTCACTGAACAAAACCTTCTCTTCTCAAAAAAATGTCTAACGTACAACAGAGAGAGCATCCAAATGAACAACTAAGCCTTAGTCCCAATTAGAAAATTATGTGCGCATCACAACACTGACACAAATCTGTCCACTCTTCCCATGTGCACTCGGGTCACACAAAGAGAGGACTGGTGCTGCTATAATGTCATGTTTACCAAGACTTTTAGCCTGCTGACTTTATGCCCAAGATTTCAAGTCCTATGGCTATATTCCTATCACTTTTGTTAAATACAACTCAATTCATGTGGTACTGCTGTAACATAAAATAAAATATTTATCTCTATCTATCCACCTACATTTCTATATAATTATATGAAGATCCTCAATATTGTACTCCCATTTCATTAACATCAAGGATATTTATTTCTTAAATTGTATTTTATTGGTATACATGGCATATCATCCATAAATGCACACAAATAAATTACCATAATTTTTTATGAGCATCTTTCAGTCTCTATGTGACAGAAAAACCTCACTGGCAATAGTTGAATAGTTGATTTGAATTTCTGGAAGTATTATCTTGGTAGTAATGATGGTATACATTACATATATCAATCTTGATTTTCAGTAAAATGCTCATTAAATAAAACAGAAAAACACTTATCAATACACATATTCTTTTCTACCTATACTTACTGTTCTATGAAATGTATATTTAAAGGAAGAGTAATTATTTAAAACCCTTGAGTGTGAAGGATAATGGTGATAGCAGTATTAATGGGCTCTTTTCACCCTCTACATATCTATTCATGGTCCAGAAAGACCCTACAAACATGGTCCTGATAATAAAAGAGGGCATGAACGATGGAAAAAAAAAAAAAAAAAAAAAAAAAAAAAAAAAAAAAAAAACTCTACGCTCTAGCAAACAAAGGCGGTGTGCCGACTTTGAGCGCGTGAGTAGGGGACATCAGCCCGAATCACTGGCTTGCCGCCCTTTGGCACACTGCCGTGGCGTACAGCCATTTGTTTGCATGCCGATCGATGTCACCCGGCACCAAGGGGTTAATAACAATAATAATAATAATAATAACAATAATAATAATAATAATAATAATAATAATAATAATAAAAATAATAAAAAAATATTAAATGATACACCTACTGCATCCCCTGCAACGCCCAACCCCTGCCCTGGAGGACAAGCAAACTCCACTTGTTTGCAGCATATTAGAGATGGAACTATTTCTAAAGGGGCTTTACACTAACTTGTGATTTTAAGATGTGTATGTGATGTACTAAGGGGGTCACAGCCCAGTGTATCAACAAAAACATTCAAAACACACTGCTAGGGAATAATTTCTCAGAGAGTTGGTCCTGTGGACATACTGACACCACCATTCCTGGGGGAGATGGCAATAGAACCAGTAATGGAAGGAAACACATTAACCATGCAGAGAATATCAGGATCTGACACTTGATGGTATGCTATCATGTGTTGATCATGTGTGTGCCGTTTCATCTACAGAGTCGTCAGACCAATAGGAACAAGAGTTTCCCCTCCTACTTTGAGGTCCACAATTGGAATGACACGGGTCTGTTTGTAGACTTGTGGCCACATTTCTAGAGGATGTCAAAAATGGCTCAGTGTGAGGGTGGGTGTTCTTGGGTGCTTTGTGATTTCATGCATGTCAAGTGCAGTAGCCATGATGCACTGTTTGAGCTCTGCTAGTCATGGTCTATACCATAGAAAAAAATAGCTCTCCGCACCATACATCTGCATCTGAAACTGACAGGTTAGTGCAACCCCCTTGCTTGTCTTCCAGAGGTTTGGGAGGCAGGGGGTTGCAGAGGACAAAATCCCCTTTATTTGATAATGTGCTGGCCTTCAATACCTTTACATTTTACCCTGCAATTTCTATGCTAACCTACATGCCCTCCTCTACTACCAGGGTAAAGTTTGTGGTGTCTAAGGTGGGTTTAACAGCCATAAATTCAGCATAGTAATAACAGGTGAAGAGTAGTGCATGAGAGGAATACATAAGTACCACCATAATCATGGTCCACGGTGCACAAGTGTTTGGAATAGTTACCAATACAAGTACGGTTTTGGTAATTTCATACTAAGGCCATGAGTCACCAGTGCAAATGACTTTGGTATCAATATCTTGCATCTGGCACATACTGTCCAGATATAATAGTGTTAGTTCACTATGAAACCAAAAATAGTGCAATTAGCAATAACTATAACGGCACAGCATAAAGAATCTGTTAGCAGTGAGGTAACTGGTAACAAACCACCATCTTGCATATCTTTGAAAAACAGAACTTGTATTTGTGTTATATGTGATATATGTGATGGAAGTTCGCTTAAGTTTGCCAGAGTTCTGTAGGCACACAGACAATGGTGATCAGTTAAAGACATGATTCTGTTAAGGTTACTATCAGCTAACACTGTTATTTGCATGATATTAGCATAAATTACTGCTGTCATTAATATCTTCTCTTGCAGATTTTACTCTCCCGAATACATTACATTTGTTTTGTTTTTTTTGTTTTTTTACTAAAACTCTAAACAGTGCAAATCAAATGCACGGAATTGCCAAAGTCTTTAGACAGCCACATTCTAGAACTTTTATTCTCCTAATGTGCATCAAAACTTGATTTATATCACCGTCTATTCTTTAAGCCTTTGGAACTTTTTTTTATAACTATCAAAACCCATTTGAAACTTGCTTTGATCTGCATTAATGCTACTATTTGATGTATAATTAAACACCAGTCCAAGCTCTATCTCAAAATAATATACAGAGGTGTAGGAATGTTGACTTTGCCGAAGTGCTAAAGGTACAAACACTACAGTGATCATTTTTCATTGTGGCTCTAATGTGTTGGAAGTCAAACAATATATTCTTCAGCATAGATTGAAGATAAATTTAAAATGAATTTGAAAAAAGGGGGAGCTTTGTGGGTAACTTAGTGCAACACAACACAGAACATCAAGTTAACTTACTTTGCTACACATCACTAACCATAAACTTCACAGAATGTGGAATGAGAGAACCTCTTATTCTGAGACACTTTACATCAATGGCATTTCAGTCACAAACTGTATATAAAGAAGATATAAAATACTATCTTAAAAGAAAAGAAAACAAAACAAAACAAAAGAAAAATCAATCACTCAATTATATGTCAGTAGGATTTTTCCTATACAAATTAGAGCTCTTTTAGAACTCAGTGCCAATTTATCATTAACTAAGGATGCATGATATGTGGTGGATGTGTGTTGACCTTTACCAAAGTGCCAGTGACAATTGGTTAACACCTTCATCCCTTTCAGGTTTAGGTAAAATCTTTTAAAGTTCACCACACTCACTTGAGTAGTAATTCTATTATTTCTCTTCTTTATATGAATGGGTTTCAAATTATTCTGACCTTCATTTCTGTAAAAAAAAATTACTCACATTTTTGAGGCATGTTATGCTAGGCCTATTTCAAAACCAAGTGATTCCTCACACCTTGGCCAAGATGTGTATTTCCTCCCCTTGGGTAGTCCTCGAAGGGCAACTTAGATTATTTAATTAATTTTGTGACTTGATATTGGGGACTTAATCTCTGGTCAGTGCATCTGTACTATAAAGAATTACCAATATAGAAAAACAGACAATATGTAGTATAAGGTAGTGGTAGAGTTGCGTAATAAAACCTACATGAAAAGATAGAACAGTACAAACCACGACAAAGTTCTATGGCAATGTGTGTGCAAATGCTTCCCAAGGCTGTAATATGTAAAAGAAAAGAGAAGATCCCCCAATTTTGGCTAAGGTGCTCATCTTGTTTACATTGCGAGGGTGAACTCTAGACGCATATACACCTAGCCAGTGGGTATAGCCCCCTGGCTAGGCGTATATATTACCATGGTGTTAGGTTAGATTGGATATTGGGTTAGGACGTTTTGTTTAACAACCCCATAACTTCCCCTGCTATCAGGACTAAAAATCAAGATTGTCGATGGAGATGGTGATCATATCTCCTCAATGATTCATTTGCACAAGGAACAATGTCTAGAATCGTTGAAATCAGTGGATTTCATGCAGAAAAATATAAAAATTTTGTTGAAAGTAACCCACTACCCTCTTCTACATATTGACCAGAAAAAACTACAGACTGATATGTGATATAATATATGCAGGCAAAGAATAACACTAGACATTATAAAAATAGGTGTGCATCTGGAGGCAAAGCATCTGGGGTTACGTAAGTCTTTGGTTCATGCGGCAAAATCTGTATATTTCCCAGGAGTGGCTGGAGCAACAGGGACTCAAGAGCGGTGAGGTCAATTCGTAAACAAACACCAATACTTTCATTAACATCATTTACAATAAATAATAACAGAAAATTAATGTATATTACAATGAATATAACTAAAACAAGGAATAATACAATACTTGCATGGGTGAAAGGCCTGCGTGAACCTAAAAAAATATAACCAAAATAACTGACCAACCATCTGGTAACATCAACAACCTCCACCTCCCCCCTTGAGCCCGACAAACACAAGGGCTTCAACCACAAACCCCTTTCACGCTTCGAGGCCACAGGAGAATAGAGTCCTCCCTCTCCTGAAAAAAAGAAAGAAGGAACAAAAAGGAGAGTGAGGGAAAAAAAGCGAAAGAAAAAAAGCAGAAAAAAAGCGTAAGAAAAAAAGCGGAAAAAAAGTGAAAGAAAAAAAAGCGGAAAAAAGTGAAAGAACAAAAGCGGATAAAAGCGAAAGAAAAAATGCGGAAAAAAGCGGAAAACCAGCGGAAAAAAAGCGGAAAGCTGGAGTCCTGAACGCCCGTCCTCCAAAAGCACTAGCGACTCGGGTCTCCTCGAGGCTCACCTTATGCCTTCTCGTCTAGCCTGGTGTTGAAAAGCCCCCCTCGAGACACCTCCCCCAAGAGGACCAACGCAAGCCACGAGGTCCAAAAGCCCCTGTGAGTCTGGCACCGCGTCTGGCACTGTGCCACGACGGGTCTGAAAAGCGGCAAACTCGGCTCCCTCCACCATTCGCCTCCTTCCTCGCCCTTTATTAACGCCCTCACCTTCCATTTTCCTTTTCCTTCTTACTCACCGGGCTCTTCGCCTTCTTAGAAAGTTGGTGGAGATAGAGAGGAGGGGCAAATGGTGACGCTACGGGCAAATTAATGTCGTACCTTCATTTTTGAGATTTGAGAAGCGTCGTCCATGTTTGTTTTCTGCAGGGAGCGTGAGTGTAAAGGTGTCAACGTTGGAAGGCATTTTATTTTTTTATACAATTTCGCGGAAAAATTATAGGAAAAGAATATAATCGTGTTCGTAAAATATTTATTTTGTCATTACGTACGTTAAATGGAATAAATGTGCGTTAATTTGGACGTAAAAAGCAATAAACACTCGTATACAGGAAATATTTTACTAGTCAACCCAGAAAATTCTATCTATTTTTTTTATTCGGCAAACATTAAATGAATATGATTTAGATAATTTGAAGAATAAATAGCATTCGCAATATCAAAATATAAATAGATATATCTTGCGTGTAACAGCAATATCTTTATATACATGACGCTTGCAGTATTAAGTGAAACTACAAACAAGTTTTCGAAGAGATTAACATGAAAGTTTAAATAGTGATTTGTAAAATGAATAATGCTAATAATTATAAGTTAATGAGGATGGTGATAACGGTTTTGATGATAATGATTTTTGTCGTGGTTATGATTATTTTATCATTATTATCATTATTGTTGCTATTAGCATTATCGTCATCATCTCTGTTACTGTTATTATCATTATCATTGTGATAGCAATTATCTTTATTATTATTATCATTACTATTATTATTACATTATTATCGTTATCACCATTATCATCATCATTATCATTATCATTGCGATTGTGGTTAATAATAATAGTAATGATAATGATGATAATAACAATGATAATAATAATGATGATAACAACAACAATACTACTACTACTACTACTACTACTACTACTACTACTACTACTACTACTACTAATAATAATAATGATAATAATAAGGATAATAATAATAATAATAATAATGATAATAATAATAATAATAATAATAATAATAATAATAATAATGATAATAATAATAATAATAGTAATGATAATAGTATTAATAATATTAATAAAAATGATGATGTTGATTATGATAATAACAATAATAATAATAATAATAATAATAATAATAATAATAATAATAATAATAATAATAATAATAATAATAATAATAATAATGATAATAATAATAATAATAATAATAACAACAACAATAACAATAATGA